TAGAGTGGCATGTGAAGCTTTGCCGGTTGAAGCGTCCTTTGGGGAGAGTCATCTGCGGCAAGGGGTTCTTCCTGCTCCTCAGCTGCTGCATCGACTCCCGGGCCACCTCCACCCGCTTGCGGTGAGCCTTCCGCAAGGTGCTGGTGAGAAATCTTGCACGCCGAGGCATTGGGGACAGTGGAGCACCTGGCGCGGGTGCTTTGTCCCTTTGGTCCCGGGTGGCAGCCTTCACTGGGGTCTTCAAGACCTCACTCCCGATTGAAGACCTGGATCTTGCCCGCTTCACTTTACAGTTGGCCTTGGCCGTGGGTTCGGGCCGCGCTGGACGGGCTGGCTTCGCTTTTGCAACAGCTTTGGCCTTTGCTGCCTCTGTGTTCTTCTTGGGGCGGCCTCCTTTGTTCTTGGAAGGAGGCTTGGTGTTATGCTGGGCATCTGTTGTCGTTGCAGGGATGTCGGCCGAGATCTCTTTCTTCCCACGCACAGGTTTTGATAGTGACCCCTTGTTTCCCCTGCCACCCCGCCCTTTGCCCCTGCCCTCAGCACCACGTCCTCGGCTTCGGCCACGCCCCCGTCCCCTGCCCTGCAGCCTCTCATAGGCAGCCTGGGTCTGCAACGGAAATGATTTTAACCCTTGAAAAAATGTTAAAAACTGAGAATACGCAACACCACCCATTGCCCCTAATGCTTAGCTATAGCATTGCCCAGCAGCCATCCCAGCGTCCTTCCTAAGCTTCTTCTGCTCTGCAAGCAGGCTTTCAGGAGGCATTGGGATCGACCGGGAACCGACAGCCCACTGCGGGAAATACGGAAGGTTATGCAACGGAGCCCTTTCAGGGTTGGCATTCCACTTCTGCCCATCATCGTCCAGCGGGATGTGCTTCACAGGCTCTTGGGGCAATGCCTTCGTAGCGCTTGCTTTCTTAAAGGACGCATTCGTAGAAAGAGTATCTCAAGCCAGACTGCACATATGCATGCTTGATTTGCTCTAGATCACTGGCACTGGCTCCTTTTCATTCTCCTCAACTTCCTCAACATAGAAGTCGTCATCTGGAGGCCCAGTGCAATCACCAGACCGAGGTATCGACAGAGACACACCCGACGGAGGAGACTTCACAGAGAATGGGACAGTGTCAGGGGTCTCCGGGGAGTCAACCTTGTGCACGTTTCTGAAAACACCACCACCAATCCAGTCCTCACATATTAATGTTAATGGCCTATATAGCTGGACGCCTGCCTACTCACAAACAACGCTATTGAAATTTGATCATGACAAATTAAAACAATATTAAGTCCTTCGATGTGGGCTTCGCAGGGGTGGTGGCAATCGGTTGGTCCATCACGGCAGTCCCCACCACCTGTTTATCATGGATGCGTACTTACTGTTCACCATTCACACAAATCTTTCTTAAGGTTTAGGGTTTTAGAGTTTAGGGTTTTAGGGTTTACAGTTCAGGTTTTTGGGGTTTAGGGTTCAGGGTTTAGGGTACAGGCCTGCAACACGAAACTATCAAGATCCCACCTCGGTGTCTCGGAGCGCGTTCCAAGCATCAGGTACTGCAGGTGCCACCTGGCCATGTGAGTACGCAACCAACACCACACCCCGTAGGAAAAACGATATCAAGTCAAACTCATGAGTGCTTCGAACATCAGAAATTTGCCCTTCTAAGCTTGTTAAATTTGATACACACAAACACACAGTGGCCTCATCAAAGAAAGCCACAAGGTTGCCACGGAATGGGCTTGTGGCCACACAGGTATCCGAGTCCTGGAGAAAACCGGGCTTACCTTATTGAAATGCACACACGAGAAAAATATATCATCATGACCCACGTCCTGGGGCTCCATTTGTGCAATCTTCTCTCTCAAAGTGGACCGAGACCTCACAGCATCGTCATCCTCAGGCGAAAGTCCGTGCAGCTTGACCGGCGTCACGTGGACCATCGATGCTAGCATCATATCCTGCTGCGAATGCACCCACCCACAGCTCAAGTTCATGGACCATGATATAGAATGACGACTGCGTGGCTATATCGTCTGGATCCAGGTATGAACTCCTATACAAATTGACGTGTGCATATATGTCCTGCCCCTGCTCCTCTTCCAGGTCAGAGGTCAAATCCTCAGGCCACTCCCAATGAGGTGGGTCCAATGGCCACAGTTCAGTCCCTGGCGCCACTGTCTCCAGCAACGCCTCAAGCTCAAGCTCCATTTCCATATCTGCTGCAGTGCTTGCTGCAGCAGCGAGCCCATCCACATGGGGTCCACCCGAACTTGCAGCATGAGCAGCGTCACTTGGGGTGTTGAGAGGAGCAACAGATGAACCTGCGACTGGGGCACTGGGAGGAGCGACACCTGAACCTTCGAGTGGGGCACTGGGAGGAGCGACAACTGAACCTTCGACTGGGACACTGGGAGGAGCGACAACTGAACCTTCGACTGGAGCATTGGGAGGAGCAACAACTGAACCATCCAGTATCGCCAGGGGAGCTGGTGCAATGGGGTTCGTGGCAACCGACGCTGCAAGAGGAGCGGCAACCGTATCACTGCCCGCAAGGGCATTCGGGGGGGAAGTGGCCCCAGCAGGGGCACTCAGCATCACAACTGCACCACCCACTGCAGGTCCATGACCATCTGCAGCGTTGTTCTCCTTAAGCATGCATGCGTAATATGCAACACACACACATGCTGCATGGTGCTCATTAGCTTGCCACAGGTGCACGCACACATCTAAACTGCAAAAGAAAATAGCATGCACACAATAGCTGCTGCCCCTATATGTTGTTGCTGAGGGACCTCGAGGCGTTTCTTGTAGATGACTATCTTCTTCAAGACTATCATGCGGGGATGTCGCGAGGATAGTGTTCGGCCGCAAAGGCGGTGCAAATGGCTTGCCAGCAAGCGGAGTTTGCATGCCTCCCCTGCAGCCCACCCCCGGATGCGGCCTCTGCCTCCACGGGAACGAAAGTCGGTGCCGGCAAAAACCGTCACCGCCAGCAGACCCAAAGCAGCCTTGCAAATGCTCCGGACTGGGACTAGTATACAGTACTCTTACTTCAACACTGCAAGCTTGTTTCAACAGTTTCAAAATTCATTTTCTTTCACGCGGGTGTACATTCTAAACTTCTGACCTGGTGATCCGCTGCGGTGGCCACAGGCTCGCCACCAAACTCAATGGTGTACTCTTTGAGCAGTACATAGTTCGAGCCCACAAGATCATCTTGGGAAGCCTTGGATATTCCCAACAATATTCCCATAATTCGACCCAGGCTCCAGTCACACTCGACTAGCTGCAGTCTAAACGGTCTAAATTGCAAGCCCGGTACCACAAGTCGCTCCTTCTCCCATTTCACGACCACACGCTCCTGAACTGCTAGCTGAACTTGCTGCTTCCTCGAGACACATCAGGCGCCTCCTGCTGCAAAGTCGATTCAATGCTACCGAGTCTCAGAATCATTCATGAAGGCTGGCATGAGATTCTTCTGCACAAATGCGTTCACCACATTGTAGATCCTTTCAGCGACTGCCTCAAATGGCAAAGGAGAGGAGAGGTAGACGGTACATCGGACTACGTACATCTACTTCATCTACAAAAATAGATTCTAATACTTAAATATTTGGACTTCGCTCGTCATTTTTCCAAATTAAGACCGTGCAGCTGACACGTGGAGGCGGAATGGGCTGTAGAGGTGCTTGACCCCTTTACTGTCGGGCGCGCTCAGGAAAGCCATGGCGGCACCCAAAAGGAAATTAAACAGTTGAAATCTTGTTTGAGATTCATGACATGAACACATGCAAATGGGCTGGCTTCTGCAGTCAGCAAGAGCTTGCAGGCACCACATGTCCACAAGAAGGGCACGTTGAAGATGCAGGGCAGCTCGAAGAAGACCCATGCCGCCGGACAAACTCACAAAATAATGGCCGGATAATGTCAGGGAATCAGCCCTACAAGGATCTGGAGATTTCTCTGAAACGCTGCACATCTAGAGTGTTCCTGTAAAAAAACCTGCCATTCAACCCAATATGCCAAACCAGCCATGTCTCGCCGAGCCAGACCCGACAGAATTGCATATTCATGGACTTGGGCCTATCCAGGGCCGCGTACTCGATTATTGAGTACTTAGCTGCGTACCTAATTATTGAGTACTCGGACCCTTAGGGTTTAGGGTTTATTAGGATTTGGGGTTTAGGGTTTAGGGTTTGGGGTTTAGGGCTTAGGATTTTGGGTTTCGGGCTGTTGTAGACGACCCGCAAGCCCCATGAGCACATTCACAGAAAGGCACGCTGTGGGGCCTGCAATTTTTGCAGGCATAGGATTTTTAAGGTGTTTTAGGGTTTAGGGTTTAGGGTTTAGGGTTTAGGGTTTAGGGTTTAGGGATGGTATCTTGCCCATTCTTGTCCTATGTATTTTTGAAATTAAGGAAGAGGAGCAGAGGCATATGTAGAGTATCCTATCTTTAGTCCTCGCTTAACTGGAAGAAGCATATGCGCAGAGAGAGCAAGGAAGAGGAGGGCCCGGGGGGGGGGGGGGGGGCATTCACACATGGCGAGAATTGCAGGGTTTAGAGTTGAGCATTGAGTTTAGGGTTTAGGGCTTAAGGTGTAGGGTTTAGAGTTTAGGGTTTAGGGTCAGGGTATGACTAAACGGCTGAATGTAGTTTGGAGCGGGTATTTCTTGATAAGGATCCATTTGGGGCTTCGGGATGGGTTTAGGGTTAGGGTCTAGGGGTCTGTGGGCTTAAGGTAGTGAGGGCCACATCAGGAGCATTTTAAGGGAAACCCTGAACCCCAAACCCTTATAAACCCGAAACCCTCAACCCTCAACCCTAAATGTACAGGAGGTACCACCTTGAGGGTACGAGTCTAAACCCCTTCCATTTTCCATCCCTGCACCGCACCCCAAACCCCAAGCCCTAACTCCTAAACCCTAAATTCCAAACCTTAAACCCTAAACCCTAAACCCCTTCCATATTCCGCCCCTGCACCGCGCCGAGCTGGCAAAGGTACCAGGATCCGGCCACGGGAGGTTGCTGGTGGTGGAACGCCGAGACGGAGGACGATGCAAGCAGCCGGCTTTGGGGATTGGGGTTTGGGGGGTAGAGTGTAGGGTTTGGGGTTTGGGGTTGTGTAGGGTTTGGGGTTTGGGGTTTGGGGTTTAGGGTTTAGGGTTTAGGGCGAGCGCGAGTGCCTGGTTAGGGGCTCATACGGGGCCCCTATACATAGAGAAGCGCCTTGGCCCTAAATCCTCAAGCTCAAGGCTCAACCCGCCCTCCTAGAGTTGGGTGGGGGGGGGGGGGGGGCACTTGAGCCCCCACACTTCGAGGGCGCAATGACCAGGGCGCAACGCTAAGCCCAACCTCACAACCTCAAGACCCCACCCTTCGCCTCCTTTAACCACCTAGGACTCTCCTGAACCAACCTTCCACAAACCCGCTGGGACGTCCGGACCCCTGCAAGCGCCCTTGCGACCCAGGGAGACGCGCGTTTAGGCCTGAACTCTCAGAGGGGTAGGTGAGGGTGGTTTTGCCACCTGACATAGGGATGACTATTTTTCATTATGCAAAATCTTCTTCCTTATAGGGGTAGTATGGGGATGATTATGTTCCTGAACACTGTGTGGGGTGGGAGAGAAGTGTTAGATGGCCCTCCACAATCGGGCCATGGCGGCCTTTCGAAGGAGCCTCTGCGCCAGGTCACAGCAAACAATACCCTATAAACCCTCAACCCTAAACCCTACAGCCCAAACCCTATAAACCCTCCACCCCAAACCCTGAACTATAAACTATAAACCCCAAACCCTAAACCTGACACCCTAAACCCTAAACCCTAAACCCTAAACCCTAAACCCTAAACCTGACACCCTAAATCCTAAACCCTAAACCCTAAACCCTAACCCTAAACCCTAAACCCTAAACCTGACACCCTAAACCCTAATTCTCAGTAAATCCCCATTCAACCCTGGAGTCGCAGGAGGCTCGCTTTGTGCATCCGCTAGCGCCGGCTCTGGTGCTGAGGGGCTGAGACCGGCGACCGGGGTCCTTATACGGCTCTAGGGTTATAGGGTTTAGGGTTTAGGGTTTAGGGCTACTGATGTAGGGATTAGGGCTACAGATCTAGGGTTTAGGGTTTAGGGCTACGGATGTAGGGATTAGGGCTATGGGGCTACAGGGGGTTTAGGGTTACAGCTTTAGGCTTTAGGGTTAAAGGGTTTAGAGCCATTGATATGTAATTTATTGAGGCCTTAGGCTTTCTCAGTGGGAAATTATTTAGGATTTTAGGCTTTGGGGAGGTCCCCTTTAAAATTCGTAGGTCTGATAGGTACAAGACTATACGTTCTTCGGGAAGGCACCAGGGTGGGTGTTCCTCAAGGCGTGCCCTTGAAGACCCACGACGCGGCCGAGCGTGGACTAAAATGCCCCTAGCCCCAAACCCTAAACCCCAAACCCTAAACCCCAAACCCTAAACCCCAAACCCTAAACCCTAAACCCTAAACCCTAGACCCTACCGGCGTCCAGTCTGTAGGGTTTAGGGTGAATATGTGCAGCTCTCCCCTTCTCCCCTGAAGCTTCTTATATTCCTAAACCCTAAACCCTAAACTTCTTATATCCCTAAACCCTAAACCCTAAACCCTAAACTCTAAACCCTAAACCCTTGGGTCCTTGTTACCAAGGGTGCCGTACTACATCGGGGACCCCCCAATACTAGAGGGCCGACGGCCATGGGGACATCGAGGCGCTGTGGAGTTGCTTTGGGTTGGCATCCTAGGGTTGAAGAGTAGCCTGGGACTGGGGTTTAGGGTTTAGGGTTTAGGGTTTAGGGTTTAGGGTTTAGGGTTTAGGGTTTAGGGTTTAGGGTTTAGGGTTTAGGGTTTAGGGTTTAGGGTTTAGGGTTTAGGACAACTTAGGGTTTAAACAACCCCGAGCCCTGCAAGGGGTGCATCGGGTGCAGAGGCCTCAAGTTGCCCCTCGGCACCCGGAATGCCTAAACCCTAAACCCTAAACCCTACACCCTACACCCTAAACCCTACACCCTAAACCCTAAACCCTAAAGCTGTGGTCCGGTTACCAGCTTGCCGCGCGCCCTCGTGTGTCAGTTTTAGGGTTCAGAGTGTAGTGTGCAGGGTCCGGTCTTCAGCTCAACCCAGAACTCAAAAGCGGTTTAGGGTTTAGGGGTTTGGGGTTTAGGGTTTAGGGTTTAGGGTAAACCAGGAGCCAGAGTAGGCCCTTATTCCCCTTTTTTTCGGGTTTAGGTTCCCTTATAAGCCCCTTTAAGTCGGACAGGGTGCCCGTTTCATTCCCAGGCTATTCCCGGGTCTACTTGAAGGTTCATGGTACTGACTAACCAATTATAACTGTACTTATAACCCTAGTTATAAGTGGGATAACCCCTATAAGGCCCTTTAGGGGTATTATAAGTAGGGTTATAAGTACAGTTATAATTGGTTAGTAAGTACCATGAACCTCCAAGTAACCAGCATACCGGGGAAACCATCGCAAGCATCGCCGTCAAACATGTCCCGGAAACGATCAAGAAAAAAGCTGTCATCCTCGCACGTAGCGTTTAAATTCTTTGGGGAGGCTTGGAGCATATGAACCGAAACCCTAAGCCCTAAGCCCTAAACTCTACACCGGCCTTACTTAGACCTGGTCGCGCACGTTCAGATCTTCGCACATACAAGGCGGTTTGTGAATGAAGTCTCGGATTGCAACCCATGCCCCTTCACCCTAAACCTAAGCCTGAAACCACTGTTTATGCTGAATTATGTTCCACACCCTAAACCCTGAACCCTAAACCCTAAACCCTAAACCTTAAACCCTAAACCCTAAACCCTAAACCCTAAACCCTAAACCCTCAGCAATGTGGCCGCTTCGCTTCGCCATCGTTGCTGTGGCGGCCGCGGGCCTCTACAGCGAGAGCATCGAAGACTCAGATTGCCAGGAGGGACAGTACTTTAGGGGGCTATTCAAGAAGGAGGGTAATTTAGGGTTTAGGGTTTTGGGTTTGGGTTTAGAGTTTAGGGTATAGGGTTTAGGGTTTAGGGTTCCGGTTTTAGGGTTTAGGGTTTAGGGTTTAGGGTTTAGGGTGTAGGGGTAATTTAGGGGTTATGGCAGAAACATGCAAAGTGCTGCCGCACCCATACTTGGCTTAAGAACCACCAAGATTGAAGGGTTACAATCCCTACATTGACCTTAGGAAGAAAAAACGGTTTACTTTTTTTGGGGTTTAGGGTTTAGGGTTTAGGGTTTAGGGTTTAGGGTTTAGGGTTTAGGGTTTAGGGGGGGTGGGGAAGCAGTTCTTAAGCAATAGTACTCCTAAACCCTAAGCCCCTGCAGTCCTTCCATCAAGGGATTAGCACTGGAACCCCTTCGGTTGTACCCCTGAAGGTTCCCCTCAATGTACTCCTATTACGGCCTTATACTACCTTAAGGACGTTTCGCAAAGAGCGACATTCCTCGGACCAGTCGGTCCTTATTCCCTTGTCTTAGGGTTTAGGCTCCCGGGTAATGCCCCGTAGACTAAGAACAGGTTCCGTAGACTAAAAACGCGTTCCATGTTTATTCCAAGGTTACTCTTGGGCCTAGATTCCTCTACAGGGGGAACATCCCAAATCTTTACCCTAAACCCTAAACCCTAAACCATAAGCCCTAAACCCTAAACCCTAAACCCCAAACCCTAAACCGCCTAGCCTCCGGAGCCCTGAGCCCAACACAGGACGGGCACTGCGCTGTATCGCATCTGCAACTGCACACGGCTTGTTGGCGTGCACTTGAATGTCTTGGGTTTTGGGGTTAACCCGAAACCCTAAAACCTAAACCCTAAAACCTAAACCCTAAACCCTAAACCCCAAACCCGGCCCTCAAGCCCTGAGCCCTTAGAACCGTGCCAACCAAAATCCTACAGACTGTAGCCCTGGTAGGGTTTAGGTCTTAGGCGTTTTCGGGTTTTAGGGCGTGCGTGGCGGGGCGGGTCTCTGCAGATAAAATCCTCAGCATCGGTCACCCTACCACCCCCATGTGGGGGATTCCGAAAATAGGGGGTACCCTTTTGTTGTGTCTTCCCAAGCTTCCCCCCTCTCCCCATCTCCCCTTCTCCCCCTTTCCAAAACCCTGAGCCCTAAACCCGAAACACCAAACCTAAAGCCTAAACCCTAAACCCTTTACACTCCTACCACTGAAGAATCCCAAAACCCCCAGACGCAAAGCCCTCTTAAAAGGCCCTACAAGCCCACACGCACCCCTCCACCTCAAGCCTATAGCCCTCTACACCCTCTGCCCTATAAGCCGAATCAGCTGCAAAGCCTACACCCCAAATAAATCTCTAAGTCTTTAAGGGTTTAGGGTTTAGGGTTTAGGGTTTTAGACCAGCTTTGACCCCTTCTTCCTGTTTTGGAGGTTAGGTTCTCCATATAGATTCCTCTTCAACCCCCTCTTTTTTTTTGACTACTAGGTTGCTCCAGGACTTTGAACCCTACCTCAACGACCCTAAACCCTAAACCCTAAACCCTAAACCCTAAACCCTAAACCCTAAACCCTAAACCCTAAACCCTAAACCCTAAACCCTAAACCCTAACCCCACTATTCCCATATTCCTAACCAGACTGTTTGGCGTAAAGCACACCGCCCTGTCTTACCCTCACAGACCTTACTCTCCTTTCAACAGCAACGACTCACCCACGCCCTGTTAAGCCCACACCACGACCCCTTACATCATGTGGTCTTCAGCCCAGGATATAAGGATAGGATTAAATTTACCAAATCTAGACACAGAGGACACCCCAGGCCATACTGGTTTAGTTTGGTATCCACCCAAGCAGTACACCTACTCAACACCTACCCCGACCACTCCGCCGTACCTAGGAGGGATTTTCTAGGTGTCAAACAGCTCACACACACACACACAACACCCCGATTCCGCTGGCATCTGCAGACTGCGGCAACGCGCGACGCAAAAGAGTACACATTCTTAAGACGTACAGTTGGTGGCGCATGGCTGACGTAAAAAAACCCAAACCCCCAAACCCTAAACCCTAACAAGCTGAGGGGGGTTGTGGGTGAAGGGTTTAGGGTATGGTCCCACTTACTATGGGGCCCTTCGTTGGGGAAGCCTTAGAAACCCCAGACTTCAGAACCATTTGAAGAAGGTTAGGGTTTCGGGTTTCGGGTTTAGGGTTTAAGGTTTAGGGTTTAGGGTTTAGGGTTTAGGGTTTAGGGTTTAGGGTTTAGGGTTTAGGGTTTAGGGTTTAGGGTTTAGGGCTGAGTGTCTTCAGCCCCAGGCTGTGTCTTCAGAGCCGCGGTCTCTGGAAAGCTTCTTCAGCACTCCGCCTTCCACCAGTCTCCTGGACTCTTTGGGATTTAGGGTTTAGGGTTTAGGGTTTAGGGTTTAGGGTTTAGGATTTAGGGTTTAGGGTTTAGGGTTCAGGGTTTAGGGTTTAGGGTTTGCGGTCAAGGGTTTAGGATTTAGGATTACGGTGCAGAGTTTAGGGTTCAGGGTTTAGGGGGTTCAGGGTTTAGGGTTTCGGCTTCCGGGTTTGCATTCGAGTATCTTTAGCGTATGGGGAATATAGCCATATGTCGGATTGGGTAATGGGGCTTAGTGCTAGAGGGGGTTCTTTGCTGCGGCCATGCCTCTGTCGCATCATCGTAGTGTGGGACGTTCCATTCCGTTGTGGTATTGAGTTTTGCAGGTTCTGCTGCGTACACGGATAAACAGATGCACGGTGCTTCAGCCCCAGTTGCTACACGCCAAGGTGCCCTAAACCCTCACCCTAAACCGGCGTCGGCCGGTCTTCCAATTGAGCATGGATGCAGCCGAAGTTACCTAACCTCCCAAGAAAACTTCAATCCCACAGTCCGGGGTTGGGATGTAAAGCAGGATCCAATTAGGGTTTAGGGTTTAGGGGAGGTCGGATCTAGATAATCTAGGCTTCAGGGCATAAAGTTCGTGAGGTTTGTATTACATCAGGGCTTGCAATGTTCACAGCATAATCATGGTTTTCAGGCAACCACTAAACCCTAAACCCTTAACCCTTAACCTTGGACGGGGTCCCCATCAACCCGAGAGACCATCGAGAAGCTAAGGCGAGCTCCAGCAATGTCTCCAGCCAGTATCTGAGGAGGAGAGGGTGCGCAGGGAAGAGGTTTTTTAACCAAAGGGAGAATGCGCAAACCCCCAAAAAGAGAACTCCCAAACCCTAAACCCGAAACACCCTAAACCATAAGAACCCTAAGCCATTAGAAACCCTAAACCTAAACCCTAAACCTTGAATGTAATCCCAGATCCTTCGTTGCTTGCCGTGCTT